TGGTCACCCTACTCTGCTGCCTTTGTGTCTCAGGTATATGCAGGATTTAACATTACTCTGTGATGCCTGTATGCTAAGGGAACAGGTTAAAGATGAATACCATGCTGCATTGGGTTAACCATTCAGATACCGGCTATATAAAAACACTCTTAATCCTCACTGTAAAACCCCAGTGTACCTGGGTAGCTAATAACTTTTTCCTTCTAAGCTGCTCCTCCTGACCCTTTCTTCCCACATTATCTCATCTCTATGGTCCTGTGCAACCTGTCTAGATTAAAGACAGTTTTGCAAGGGCTGGGGCAGGTGTCGTAGGCTCAGCTGTTCTCTTCTAAATTTAAAAATACAGGTTATAATAATCTTTTGGTACAAGTCTTAGTGCTATCACTCTTTTTGTGTTGTTCTGTAACCACTTGCTTCCCCCTGCGCTCTGAATTAAGCTACAGCATAGAGGAAAAGACTTATTATCCAAAGTAGAACTCTTACCCTTCTTTAAATGTGGCTTATAAAAATGAGTCTTCACTTCCTATAAGAATTTTGCAAGATCAACTGATCTGATGATCACAAAGGTGTCGGTGAACCCCTTTTATTTTATAAAGCTGCTCCTGCAGCCCCTTGTCCCTGTATGGCATGAGGCTCTGGGCATTTAATGGATGTCAAAGACTGGTCATTGTCCTTGAAATGCGGCAAACACAGTTTGCAACTTTTTTCCCCATTAGTAGGTAGGGTGCATAAAATTCTAGCTTGGTTCTTGTTCCCTACCTCCTGTGATGATCAGAAGTACAAAACACTGAAAGCAGCATCTCTGGTTGGGTGATAGTGCCTTGTTTCCTGATATAAGCCACCCTTGCCATGGTCTTATTGAACAATTGGCATCTCCTCCTCTTCCCCACTGAGTGTACTTGGAGATTAGCAAGTTCTGTATGGGTTGGCCTCTCACTGTGCCATTAGAACTGGCATCGAGTTTGCTGATGATTTTGGATGTGTGGATGTGGGCCATCCAAAGACTTACTGGCCCAGGACACGCTGTCTGCTGAACTATCAAATGGTCACTATTGTAACAATAAACCACATTCAGACTTTCACCAGCAACTGTTGGGCCTAAACTAGTACCTGGTTAGACTTCTTATTTCAGGGCGTTACAAGCAGTAGACTCTGGGTGCATAGAAAAGAACAAGCTACTATTCAGTGGTGCTGCAGAAGGGCAAATGAACTATTACATGTTTGATGTAAAAAGTTCTAGGGCTCAAAGAACCTGCAAGTACTCTACGTAAAGAACAACCTTATCATTCTGCCATCAGTGTTGATTCAGCCCTTTGTCCTTCCTGGAGTTCCATGCTGTACGTGGTTTGTGACTTTAATCAAAGACTCATCTATTCCACATGGTTCTGTGGCGGTTTGCTGCGGTATCCTTGCCCCAAATTCCTCCCATGTCCTTCTGTTGTACATTGTGCTCTGTGCTGATGGGTTACTGTGCTCTATCCCAGAGGTGGCTGCATTTCTGTCTGTGTATGAAGTTTGTGAAGCACATTTGATTGAAAGATCTTGTATAATTAGTGTAAGGAGGAAATTTACAACCTCCTTGATAGTCAAATCAGGATTTCCATGTAGGGAACAACCCCATAGCAAAGTAAGAGGCTTTCAGTACAATAGGGCAGGAGGTGGGGAATCCTAGTGAGCGTATGGCTGTGACTTTTGTACCTGGGATGGTTATGCAAATAGTGGGGTGCTGAAGAGTGGCATGTAAGCACTGTTATCAGGAAGGCTGTATCTGTGCTGATTTTACGAGTTGCATACATGCTCAGCACACCAAGAGTTATTAGCAACGTGCTGCAGTTGGCTGGGCTAGAAGGGTCTCTGACCTGCAGAACAATCCAGTTGGAGGGGCTGAGTGGCTGTACCATAAACTGAGATTCAAATGGCCAAAAGTAATGGCCAAATCACAACTTCAATCCAGGGGGGGGGGGGGGGGGGAAGAGTAATTTATGCTGAGTTGTCCTTTGCTGTATGTTCAATGATGATCAGATCTGTGGTTGATGTTGAAACTGGAGGCATGGCAAATGCACGTGAGGCTAGAACTAACTTGACTGGGGGAGATTAGATCAGCGAGGGCTGCAGGTAAGGAGGGAGGTTTGGCCCTATTAAGTCTGAAGCTCTGTGCCACAGGAGCGGCCATTAGCAGATGCACCTATTTTGGGATGACTTGATTGTATTCACTTACACAGCAAAGAGGAATAATGCTCTCCACTGCAGCAAATACTAGGGGAAATTCTCTGGCCTGTGTACTGCAGAGGGTCACAGTGGTGCCTTTATTGTCTTTTCAGCCTGGACTCTTAATACCCACCCAGTGTTACTACCTCATATAACCATGCACTCTTTTCCCCAGCAATGGTGTGCAGTCAGGACTGAGCTGCTGGAAGGAGTTGTCCAGTGGAGCACAGTTGTAAAAGTTGGACATTTTGGTTTAGGAGTTGGGAGACCTGAGTTCCATTCCCAGCTCGGACACTGCCTCTCTGTGTGACCTTGGGCAGGTCACATTGTCTCTTTATGCCTCAGTTTCCCCATCTGTAACATCAGATAAGGACAGCTCTCTCCCAGCAATTTTGTGAGTGTGAATGAATTTCTGTGAAGCACTCTGCCCTCCTCTACGTCCTTCTGCAGGAGGATCACAAAGTGTTGTTGGGTTTGGCATAAAATGGAGTGAGGGAAATGGGTTGAGATGGCCATTGAAGGAGAGGCTTAGCTGTGTAACTGTGAATCTTTTGGGTTTGTGTTGCCGCCATGTGTGGTGTTCGAACAAACTTATCTGGGAAAATGCATATTTCTAAAAGGCTACAGGAACTATGCCAAGAGGCAGGGTGGTAGTATGGGTGGGGGCTGGGAAGGGGGGGTGGGACACATGCTCTTCTACTTAATAAAACGTTTCTACTTAATAAGCAATCCTGAGATACTTGTCATGCTGGTATTCAACTGCCAAGATACAATTTGGGGGGCAAAAAATCATTTAGGAAAGGCTCATCTAGTTATTTTAAAAAAAACCCAACACCTTAGGAAGCAGCCACGCTGACACCGCCTTTATACTGCCAAGGCAGATGGGCAGAGTGGAGTATTGAGGTATCAAGGCAAAATGATATATGCGCTGCAGAGATGGGCATTGGAAAATAGATGGCTCTGCTCTGGGACAAAAAAAATCAAGCTCAACCCAGTTTGGCATTGCTAGGTCCATCAATGGTTATTAGCCAGGATCGGCAGGGATGTAAAACCATCCTCTAAAGTGTTCCTAGCCTCTGTTGCCAGAAGCTGGGAATGAGTGACAGGGTATGGATTGCTTGATGATTACCTGTTCTGTTCATTTGCTCCGGGGCACCTGGCATTGGCTACTGTTGGGAAACAGGATACTGGGCTAGATGGACCATTGGTCTGACCCAGTATGGCCGTTCTTATGTTGCTGACTAGCAAAGGAAGATGGCATTCAGGAAAACTGAACCTTGCCAACCGTTAACAGAAGGTGCTGGGTTATGATGCAACTCAGAGTTGAGAGTCACACTTGACACCAAGGTCAATGATGCTTTATTTGGCGACTTCCCTACACGAGCCCAAAGGTTTGCCCATAGGACCTTCCCCCTCTGTCTGGTAAGCAGAACTTTAGACAGTTTAACAAGCGTGTTCCTAGTTTGCTGAACCAGAATGACCCATACATCACTATTTGGATGTTTTCCACACAGCTAGAACTTCTTGAAGCACATGCTGGATTTCCTGAAGTGCTTGTCACCCTGATATGATGGCTCTGACCTGGTTATCTGCACTCTAAGTAGTTTTACCACCTTTATCACTGTGGTATCTGAGCAGAGATGTCCATTCATCTCATAAGCATGCATATCTTGTGTGTCACAAATAACACTGCATAAAATCCTCCTGGTATTGCTTTGGAAAGCAGGTAACCTGGCCCAGTCAGTGGCTGGTTAACTGGTTCAGCTGTTAGCAGTACCTAGGATCATGAGAGCCTGATGTGCCTCAAACAGGATTTTAAATCCCTTAGTGGAATTTGGGTCTTTTAGCTGTAGGTCAGTGGTCTGGACCTAGCCAAACAGAGTCTGTAACTAGTTTGTTCTCAGTCCAGTTCCTAAAGGACAACAGCCTACATCACAAACAGACTAGTGTGGCCACAACCAGCTGCCTGCTGACCACTTCTTTAGGACGCAGAGAGAGGCCACGCAGACAGAATTCTCCCCAGCCAGGAGACTGTTCAGGGCAGGCTTGGGGAAGTTTGCCTTGCTGCTGACCATGCTTTTGCTTCCATTGTAGGTAAATAGCATCCATCTCCAGTGCTGTGGAGCTGGTTCCTAAATCCACAGCTGTTTTTTAATGAAGGGAAGAACACGTCTTTGCTCTTGTATCTTACAAGCACATAGAAAGCAGAAGAAATGAAGACATTTGTGTTTATTTTATTTATTTTTAATCACTTATATAAAGTATCAACTCTATGGGATCCAGGAGATTGGTTAAAATAAATAAAGGTAACAGTTGTCCCCAGTCCTTGCTGGCTGAGTTTGAGGCTGGAGTGGGGAGCTGCTGAAATCCCTTGAGAAATTGAAGCACTGAGAAACCCTTTGCTGGAGCAGCAGCTGCACTGGGAGGCATTGCTAGAATATAGGATGACTTACAGCTAAGGACTCAAGGTGGGGTGGGGTGAACCCTTTCCAGACTCTAGCATTACCCCCCAAGTGTCCAAGGGCCTTTTGTTCTCAACAGTCTTCTTGATGTGGTGGGCAATGTACGTGCTTCTTGTCAAGCTTTCCCTGCCCCAGAATTACTTGCAAGGTAGATTTAAGCAGGTGATGCCCGGGAGCAAGGTGAAGCTGCTTGGATGGCTCTAAGAGATGAGCTCCAATCCAAGCACAAACCTTCCATTCTTATTTCAGTAGCTTGGAGAAAAATAGGGAGGAAGCAAGTAAATTAACTTGGGCTTCTGCTCTATGGGGCTGCTGAAACCTCAAGCCCTGATTGGTCTAAGCTATAACCAATGGAAGGCGTGGCTGCTGAAAGCATCTATGGTGTTGAAAGCATCTCCTGATGGCCTCTGCAGGAGAGCAGTGCTGGTTCCTGTGGCTGGAGACATGCATCCAGCAGCAGGTGACTGCTGGAGAGACCATGTATGTTAGCTTAAGAAGTGCTGCCTGGAAGATGTATGTCTCTCCTTCCTAGTAGTCTCTGCTGAATGGGGTGCCTATGCCTCAGCATCCCGCGAGTGGTGCTTGGCACACTCCCCTTGCTTGTGGCTGTGCTTCTCACAGTGCTTGCTGCAGTTGCCTCGCTTGGATGTGGAGGAAGTGGAGTGCGCAGGCAAGGCGGGTACCACTGGCCTCTCCTGGCTGTTGCAGCGATGAACAAGGATGGGCTCCTTGGGGCTGGCCTTGCTCTTCAGGAGGCGCTGAAGCAGTTGCTTGTCCGACCGCTCCTTCCTGAAGTCGTCCTCAAAGATCTTAAGCTGCAGGGAAGGCAAAGGAAAAACAAAAATTCGCAGGGAGAGGCAGGTGAGCCCAGAGGTGGCTCTGGCCAACTCTGTGCAACTTGAGGCACTAGCTATTGTGCAGCTAAAACCATGAACACTTTTGAACATAGTTAAAACTGAGTCCATGCTGATTTGGGGAGGGAATAATTCCCATCTCCTCTTTTCTGATCCGCGTTTCCCAACTGGCCAGTACTTTCCAAAGATCAGAATAACAATTCCAGCTATTCAGCTACCTAGCACTTGGCATGGTGATTGGGTACTATATAAATACATAGGCCTGGCCTGACCCCAGCTCATTCCCCTATAGCTGTGTTAGTCCACAAAACTGGGTGACTTGGCAACCAAATCACAGATGAAATTCAATGTTGATAAATCCAAAGGAATGCACATTGGAAAACATAGTCCAAACTGTACATACAAAATGATGGGGTCTAAATTAGCTGTTACCACTCAAGAAAGAGATCTTGGAGTCATGGAGCAGATGTTTTCAGAAAACTATCCACAATATGCAGCAGAAGTCAATAAAGCTAAGTGTTAGGAACCATTAGGAAAGGGATAGACAGTAAGATAGAAAGTATCATAATTCCATTATTTAAATCCATAGTACACCAACACCTGGAATATTGTGTACAGTTCTAGTCACCCCATCTCAAAAAAGATATATTAGAAATGGAAAAGGCACAGAGAAGGGCAAGGCAACAAAAATGAATCAGACTCTGGAACAGTTTCCCTATGAGGAGAAATTAAAAGGACTGGGACTTTTCAGCTTGGAAAAGAGACAACTAAGGGGGGAATATGATTGAGGTCTATAAAATCAGGAATGGTGTGGAGAAAGTGAATAAGGAAGTGTTATTTACTCCGTCACATAACATAAGAACTGGGATCCCTAATGAAATTAATAGGCGGCAGGTTTAAAACATAAGGAAGTACTTCTTCACAGTCAACTTGTGGAACTCGTTGCCAGGGATGTTGTGAAGGCTGAAGCTATAACTGGATTCAGAAAAGAACTAAAGTTCATGGAGGACAGGTCCATCAATGGCTATTAGCCAAGATGGTCAGGGACGCAACTCCATGCTCTAGGTGTCCCTAAACCTCTGACTACCTGATGCTGGGACTGGGCGACAGGGAACGGGTCACTTGATAATTGCCCTGTTTATTCCCTTTAAAGCATTTGGCATTGGCTGCTGTTGAAAGACAGGATACTGGGCTAGATGGACCACTGGTCTGACCCAGTATGGCCGTTCTTATGTTCTAGATTGCTAGATCTTCAGGGATTAGGAAATAATCCCCTTGTAGCATCCGCATCCCTGGTTAGTGAGAATCCTCTGGCTTCAAGAGAGTGTTTCAGGACAAGTGGGACAGGCAGCCTTGTGTCATTAAACTGCATGGAGCCTGGCAGTGCACTGCAGCGATGAACGGTTGGTGCAGACTCGCTAAACCCTGAAGATTGGGGGAGGTTGCAGATGATAAGAAGAGACTGGCTGGAATGAGTTTCTTACATCGCTTTCAAAAAGCAACCCTCTTCATTTTTTAAGTAGCCCGGGGCAGAAAGGACACTGGGACTGTGGCTGGTTCCTCCATTTGACTGCTCACAAGGAAAGGGACGTCTTTCTAACTACCAGTTCAGCCTCGTGCTGGGATTGGAAAGTCAAGCAGGGTTCTCCTCTGCACCTGTTGTATTTCCTGGGAATATTCAGCTGTAGACTGAGGGCAGAGCATGTCGCTTTAGAGGGACCTTAGCTAACAAAGTTGGTGATCCATGAGCCAGACCCGACCCGAGCTCGTTCCCCGGTAGCTGTGTCGGCTCCGCGGAGACAGCAGTAAAGTTTTGTCATCAAAAGCAGCAGATCTAATATCTACAGCACCAATCGCCATAATATCTCCGTGGTGGCTCTAAATACATCAGGAACAGATCTGTTGAGTGGGAAGGTGCTCTTCTATCTTCACCGCACTATAAGAAAATGGGACCTACTAACACTTGTAACTTGCAAACCAAGAGACAATATGGAGAATCACATATCATTCAGGTTTCAGAAAGGATTCCCTTGCACATACAGCTACACTAACTGGAGGCAGAAAAGCTTGCAAGGTATATCAGGGAGGGTCTTCCCCATTTTCTTATGCTTGAGGCACTGGTCAATGCGAGAGACAGGAGGCTAAATCAGCAGGATCAGTGATCTGATTCAGTATGGCAAGCCCCATGTTCCTAAATCCATTCTGCCCTCATTGAGAAAGCCTCAAATACAGCCTAGTTGCTGGCTGTTGCTTTTCCTTCCCTGCAACTGAGTTGCATTAACAGGCTGACCAGTGCACTCAGGGGACTCACCTGCTCTTGCAGAAGTGCCATCTGCTGCCTCATCTCCTCCTCCTTCTTCCGTAGCTTCTCATTCTCTGCTTTGATTCGCTCCCGGTCTTTGTGTTCTGTCCTGTAATCCGCCTCATAAATTTCTGTCTGTGAAAGCAGGAAGAGATGCCTGTCAGTAGGGGCTTGGAAGCTCTGTCACGGCTGGGTAACCGGCCAGTATGCTAGGGAGGGATGATCATTCTACAGTCTTATGCTGATTGTCATGCAAAAGTCATTGCCACCTTTTGGGGACTGGTCATGCTAATTTCTTCCCCTTGCTACTCCAATAATACTACCTCGTTCTTATATAGCCATCTCAAAGCACTTAGGGACCATTATCCCCAATTTACAGATGGGGAAAGTGAAGCAGAGAGACAGTGCCATGCCCAAGGTTACCCAGCAACCCAGTGGCAGAGCTGGGACTAAAACCCAGGTCTCACAAGTCCTGGTCCAGCGCGCTAGCAACTAAACAACATTGTTTGAACTCTAACAAGGTGGTGCTGGAAGAATGCTTCCAGAATCGCTCCAAGCTGGGAGGATGGGGGATTAAAATGATGCAGCGGGGTGGTGTGAGCTGGTGAAGGAGCAGAGCACAGAGCCAATACTCAGTCCCTCCTGCGAAAGGTTGGAGAGGAGTAGTGCACCACTCTTGGATGTTCGCCTGAGACTAGCTCCCTCTCCCACCTGCCTGAGCAAACATTTCAGTGCGGTTCTCTTTTCTCCTCCCCCTCCCCCCAGCAGTCCCTTTCCCCATGAGCACCCATCCTTCATGACTGATGCTGGGTTACCTGCAGGGGTCGGCACCACCATGTTGCGTGACGGACACTTGACAAAATTACCGTACTTAGTGACAGACATGGGGGGGGGGGCATGTCATTGTCATTCAATTTTTTGAAAAATTACCACGGACTTCAAAATTTTTACCATGGACACATTGCTGACCCCTGGTTACCTGGCATTTCAAGGCCTCCAGCTGGTCCTTCAGGTCAGTCACCTCTTTCACAGGATCCGAGCTATTATTCACCTGGGCCAAGTGCTTGCACTTCCTGGGCTTGTAGGTCTCACCCCCTTGCACTTTCTGACTGGCTTCTTCGTGCTTTTTGGGTGAATTCTCCTTCAGGCTCTTTATAGGAAGCGGGAACTGGGCATCTACAAATTCCTCCCAGGGCACAGATGCCAATACTTCAGAGCCCTAAGGAAGGAAAGGCTTAAAGGTCAGCTGTTGGCATCATCCAGCACATTGGTGACCAGCTTCTTAGAAATGCTAAATAGTCACTTGTACATTGGGCCCTGGGTGTTTCATTCTCTTCCTGGTCACAATACATTAGGATAAGGGACAGTAGTTTGGTCTCTAGGTGACAATAGGGGGAGGGGCTGGGTGGGGCTGTGTTTGACACTGAATCTGTTGCTTATAGCAAAGTCATTCTTGGGTAGCAGAGCCTCACAAGCCACCCTCCCATTCCTGTAGCACTGCTGCAGGAGCCAGCAAGACAGGCCAGTTCGGAGTGGCTGCATGTGGCACCATGATATGGAAACAGCTGAGAAGCCCTAAATTAGGTCATGCCCATGGTAGCAAGTGGTACCATGCATGAGTCAGCAGGTAAGAAAAGCATGAAGGTAAATTTAAGGTCTCCAGGTGCCCAGCCTAACAAAGGGGTTCTGTGCTACCAGAGAAGCTTGCTCCTGAAGACCTGCATTTACTGTCAGTCTCTCCAGGGAGATTTGAATCTCCTCTGCATTTTTCAGTTTGTTTCCGATATAATTTTGGATCATGAGCCGTTCTAACTGGAGGGCAACTGAACTGTTCAAGACCACATCTCTCTGCTACCAGCAACTCCATCTAAGAGCCACCTGAAACAATGGGCTTAGCTATTGTATGATATAAGGAAACAGTTGGACCGTGTATAGGTGTGGCCTGGAAGTTGGGAGATGTGGATTCTAGTCTCAGTTCTGCCACTGACCTGCTGTGTGACCGTGGGCAAGTCACTGCCCCACTCTGCCTCAGTTTCCCCTCCTGTTTAGAGTCTAAACTCTCTTGTGTATGGCCAGAGCTTAGCAGAACAGGGACACAACCTGGGGCCCATAAACGTTACTCTAATACAAATAACAACAAAATAAGATGTCTGCACTGGCTCTCAAGCAGTGTTTGAAAGCTTCAGCATGTCTGTAGCTGAAATAATCTAGTACAGTTTGGCTGGCCAGTGTGGATGGGGCCAATCTATAGTGGAGCCTCGATCTAGCCTCGATTCCTAGCCAGGTTTGAGCACTGTTGTTTTAACACAGTTGGATCCCCATCCATGCTGGCCAGCCAAACTCTGGAGCACATTTGGGTGCAATTGTAGTAGGTGTGGTTATCTGTACTTCAAAGCCAGGATAGATGGAACCGGAGTCCTTCGAAAATCGGGAAGAAAGAGAAATTATAGGTGCTGACAAGCTGGTGAGGTCACATGATGAGGCACATACATTGTCAATAATTCTCCCACTCTTGTTCTAGCCCCACCCAGAGAATGCTGGTGTAGAGTGGGTGTTCTGATCTCCATGTCTTCTAAACCTGCTCTGAGCACCAGGCCATCCCCAGTTGTTAGAGGACAGGATTGTGGTGGGAGCTGGACTCTTTGTGCTGCTGAGAATATTTCTTTGCTTCTTTCATTCTGATTTTTGCATCCCGAAGCTCAGTAATTTCGGCTGAGTCAAACTTGCTTAGGGTAACCAGACCACAAGTGTGAAAAATCAGGACAGGGGTGGGGGGTAATAGGAGCCTATATAAGAAAAAGCCCCCAAAATCAGGACTGTCCCTATAAAATCGGGACATCTGGTCACCCTAAACTTGCTTAGTGCGTTGTTGTTAATAGAGTTGGCTATATGCTGCAGCAACTTGCATGGCTCCGGGACATTGTCAAAGCCATGGCTGTGCATCAGCACTGACCTGGTGTCTTTCACACCTAGCAATATGACAAATGCCAAGCACAGGTGGCCTTTGAGTCTACAGCTAGGAGCTGATCTAAAGAGTGTGGGGTTCCTTGCCCTCCCTGAGTGAAAATGGAGGTGGTGGCTGTTTTCTATGCAATAACAAAGTTGAACTCTTCCAACCCAATGAATCACTTTCAGTTGTGTTTGTAACACTGCAGCTTTGGTCCAGTCCCCGTTCTTAGACTCCTTTATGGGAGGAGGAGGAGGGTTTACAGTGAACTTACAGCTGAGGTCCTCTTCTCCCTGTCGTGGTGCTGTCTGCCTTCTAGCTGCCTCACGTACTCCTGTAAATGCTGGTTCTTCTTGAGCTCCTGGATGAGGGTTTGTTCGTAGTACTCCCTCTTGTTCTGCAATGGGGATGGACACCGTCAGAACAGCATCTAACATTCAAAGGAAGCAGACAGGCCCTGGATGCTACTTGCAGCATCCTAAATTCACATGTGGTAGGAAAGGGGTTTCTGTTCACTGATCTTTCTCCACCCAGCCTTACTGCACCACTTCCTGGAAATATATGCTAAGAAGGGAGCTGCAGTGTGTCTTTCGCAAGCAGCAAACCTATGTCCTTTACCTCCCCACCTCCCTCACAGTCAGCTAACTCATTGGTGTCTTTGGTGTCACCGAGGGGGTAGTACACTGGACGAGGCTCTAGCGGTGGCCAGCTTCATGACCTTAGGCAAGTTAATCTGCTTCTCTGTGCCTCAGTTTCCCTAACAAGGAGATAATGATACTAACTTCCTTTGTAAAGTGCTAAATAAAAAGTGTCTTCAGTGGGCTCTGAATCAGGCTCGCTGGGCTTTTCTCTGTCCCCGTACAGTTCCTCTAGATGGTATGACTCCCTGATTAATTTGATATTAGAGATGAGGAGAGTAGGTTTGGAAAAGCGAGCTGGGTATTATGTATCCCTTCCTCCTGCCACCAGTATTTTT